CATATCTGAGAATGGAGTGGGATTTGCAGAGCAGGAGACTGTGATGGTGGGTTAACAGAAATCTGCTGGCAGCTCACACGTACTTCCTGTACTTTCCTTTATAGCTGATACTTAGAGCAAATATTTTCTTTATTTGTGTAAACTTTATGGCAGAACATTTCTAGAAGACCTTGAATGAACACAGACCGTGTTTGAGTCCATTTTAGCTGTGACCTGATCTGTAAACACTTTCTGTTGCAGATAAGGCTAGAGTGATTTTACTTTTATTTTTTTCCCCCCCAGATTTTGGCATAATTTTACGTAATACCAATTAATTTTGCTCCCACCAAAGACATATTTTATTATTTTTCAGTTATCAAATCCTTTTTTTCTACTGCAGCTAACGAGAATTGATTTTCAACTCTCAAAATACATACCTATTACATTTTATTTCTGCTGATAATAAAATTGAATTTTATTATCAGCAGACTGACATAAGTAGGTGTTAACATTTTATTTGCAGATTTTTAATGTGAGCAAACACTATGATTTAGAAATAAATTATGAATGCCTGTTGCTATGTGGAAAACCCCCTCATTAAGTACAGTCATGCAGGGTCAAAGTCACCAGTTTGGTCCTGGTTAGCTGTTTTGGTGGATGCAAAATTTGTCTGTCTTTGAGTTATGATGAAACAAGTAAATTCTTGAATGTTATTTATGCAGCCTGAGAATGATGAATATCAGACAGTAAAAATGTTCTGTGATGATGTCTGCTCACTGATTCCAGCTAAAATCATGCGCAGGGGCAGCTACATGATTTTATAAAAGCAATGCACAATCTGTGGCTTTAAATAAATTCTTACAAATGAAAATCAGTGCACTTGAAAGCTATTATGTTTTGTAGTGATTTCAAGCATTTAAGTTTTGAAATGATCGGCCATAAACCCTGCATTAACTGTGCTCCAAAAGCAATGAGCTGATGAAGACGGTGCTTTGCTAGCCTCTTCTATCAGTATCTGATCACCTTCTGAGTTTCTCCTGCTGCCAGCAGAAATTATCTTCCACAAAAATCACAGCTGGTGGTAAGGGATCGTTAATCAGATTCCAAACCTATCTGCTGAGGTGGTGCAGGACGGTGATTATCTAAGACTGCCTGTGCTGTTTTTCACAGCTCTACTAGAGGTATCAATGCTAACTCCTTCTGCTCTCAGCAGCCTTGCCCAGTCAGTCCCTTCTTGCTTCCAACCTCCTTTTGCAGATGTCTCCAAGGGCTTGCCAATGATGTCTGTCCTGAGCAGCGCTCTGTGCAGCGGAGCAATGCGTGAGTGATGCCACACGTTATTTCTGTGAGGTTGCTGGGGAGGAGGAGGCAAAGGCTCAAGGTGTATAAGGGATTTATTCCCCTTTCTTTTCCGTTTGCTCTTGGTTACCCTTTGCGTTGCCCTCTAATACAACGGTGAGGCCGAAACAGTCCTCTACAAAACTGGAAAGGTACCAGCACTCTGGGGATTCTTTAGTTTGCTGTAAATTACACTTTATTAAGGGTGTCTCTTGCCAGTAACCACAGACCCCATGCAGTTCACAGCAGTTTCTGAGGTTTTGCAGAACTGGCATTATGAATCAAGAGCTTTGGTCTCCAGGCCTCTCTGCATGCTTGGGTTTTGAGCTAAAGTATTCTCTGCAGGGATCTTGAGTCTCCTGCCTTTGTTTTTTGTTTATTTTTCTCTCTCCCACAGAATGTGTTGGCTATTTATGGAGTTCTTCAGGACATGCAAAGGCTACTTTTGGTGTATAGAGAAAGTTGTTGACTCTGGCAGGTGCCTCAGCAGACCTTGAGCTCACTGTGGTGTTTCTTAGTCCTCTGCAGTCTGTCCATTTGGAGCCCGGTAGTTCTACCCCCCAACTCCCTGCTGGTCTCAAAGCCAGGGTGCAGGGAGAGCCCATGCATGGCAGCACGGTGTGCTCCAGCCAGGGGACCTCTTGCAATCTGCTGCAGTACACAGTGCCAGACATCCTGCAGTTTAGAGGCATTTGGTTCTTTAAGAACTGAGTTGTGACATAGAAAGCTTGATGGCATTTGCTCAGTGAAGCCCCTCTGGGTCTGCTGCAGAGCTCTTTCCTAGATCTCCCTACATCCCTATGATATTCAATCCCACCAAGTAATTGCTGCGTAGGAGTACCTGGGGGGTTCAGCATTATTTGCCTTGATTATCACAACTTCTGTTCTATGGCCCATCTGCTTTTATCCTGGGGACTAGTGAATGGGTGTCTGTCTCCCTCCTCTCTTTATGGCTCCTGTTTGCATCTGTCAGCACATCTGCCTTTTCTTGCAAGGCTCTCCCTGCTACAGGGAGCTTGTGTCCAGTCCCTTTCCTTGGATTTTTCCTGCTGCAGGAGCCCTCCTGCTGTCCAGCCCTCCCACTGGGACTGCAACATAAGAATTTTCCCCTGCATGAAGGTATGGGCAACACCATGCAAATTGTTCACTGAAAACAGACAGAAATGCAACTACTTGCAAATGAGAAATCCAGATACTTGGTGTTGAAGGTCCCAAAAGAAACAGTTTAGTGTTAGGGCTAGTAACAAATGCACGCTTTGTCTGAGGATGGGAGCACATATTCCTAAGAAACCAGGTGAGTTGGCTTTACTGCCTTCTGGCCTCAAAGGGATTGCTTCCTTTCTTGGCCAGTGCCAGTGAAATTCTGCAGAAAGAGTGACAGAAGATTCACTAGAGGCTACCAGATGTAACCTGGAGAGGCAGCAGAGGAAAGGAGCAGAGTGCTCATGTCCAGTGCTGCTTGGCCAGGTGGGCTTTGCAGAGCCTCCTTCTCTTGGCATGCCTGGTGAGGGGTAAACAAACAGGTAGATGTTAACACAGTGTGACTGCAGGAGGGATTGCACAAAGGTATAAATATATGGGGACAACCAAAGATGTCCCTCTCCTGCAGCTCCCTGTCCAGCCTGGGTGGGACATGTTGCACCTTCTGCTCTGGTCCTGAAAGTCTCTGTCCTGATGGATAAACAGCTGGTGGGAAAGGCTTTGCTGAATTGCTCTTTGTGAAGCAGGTAACTTGCTTGTAGGGTCACAGTGTTGATCTTCCTTGTGCACAGGGCAGGAGCCCAAATCTGAGCCTTGGCTGACGTGGAGGACAGCAGACACGATCTTTAGCTGTGGTGATGTATTCTAGATTCCGGTTCCTGCTCTAGATCCTTGACAGCTGTTTGCTGTTCTGTCCCTTTAATCTGTCTCTTTGCAAACTATTCCCCAAATTTAATAACTTAGTAGGAAGAGAATGACTTTGATCTTGACAGAACATGTTGGGTCAATCTATTTTAACTGCAGATTTGGCTTGCAAATAGCATCTCCTTTCTGATTAGGTTCAGGTGTCATCTCTGTGGACACTGGCAGGAGTTTGCTTGACCATGACAGCTTTTATGGAGTCTGGCAATTAAGTTGTCAAGATACATTTTCCTCAGCCAGGAAGCATTAATGGATGATAGTCTTGGCTGGAATAAGTCCCGAGAGATGGATATTGTAATCAGGATGAACAGAGGTCTTTGTAGGTGAGGCCTGCATTGGTTCAAAGGTCTGAAGTCCTTGACACTTAGTGGAAGTGAAATAAGGGACAGGGCAGGAGGTATCAGGGCTGAATACTGTGGGGGAGAAATGAAAACAAGATAGATGAAGAGACATCTCTCTAATGTCACTAGAGATTAACATAGCTGGAAATGCTGGTATATGAGGAGACTTCAGTTTTGCAGATGCACACTGCAAACTACTAATATTAGTAGAGGTCCTGGATATGAAAGCAAATCTAATTTTCCACTAGGTAATCCCCACAATCATGTTATTGTAGATTTACTTTTCAAGTAAGAAAGATGTTGGAAATGTCCTTCTCCTAGAAAATAAAACTGCGATGATTCAACATGAGCTAGCTCTGTTTAAATTATGTCAAAAATAGATCTGTAAGTAAGGATTTTGATTACCAAGTACAGAATTTGGAAGGTTAAAAGTTAGAGAGAAATTTGGAGAATTTAGGATTTGGATTGAGAAGGCTGGATTGAGACCAATCCAAAGAATTGTCAAAACTCTCCTTAAATAACAAAAAAATAAGTGTTCAGGACCAATCCAAGTTCCGTTATTTTTAATAGTGGGCAAATTTTCAGAAGTTTGAAGAAAACTGAAGATGTAAAGCATAAATGGATAATGTACACAAAGAATTTTCAGGAAGGAAGTCATGCATGGGCTTATACCAATCTTTGCAAAGCTGGCTGACTTCCTAGATAAAGGAAATACAGTACATCTAGTCTATGCAAACATCAAAAGCATTTGGCCTGCTGCCCTGTGGGATGGTGTCACTTAGGCTTGGCAAGGTGGGTCAGGAACTGGCCATGGGGGAGGTGGCAGCAGATGAGCAGAGGGTACCATGACAGTTAGCAGGGAACAGCCAAAAAAGATGGATTTTAGGAACAAACTTATTATTTTTGCTCTATGCTGTAGTACAGAAAAATTTGGCATATGGAGCAGAGCACTGCTGAGATTTTTAAAACAGGAGAAGAACAGGATTTCTCCCACAGAGCACAGGGTCACCTTCTGGGCTGAAATTGCCTAGGCTCAAACTGGGATGAAATACAGCAGTGAAGAGTACAAAATCATGCTCTAAGGTTAAGTAATGAGGGTTTTGGCTATTGTCTGGCAGCTCACTTGAAAACTATAGAGGAGGAGAAAGATCTAATCGCATTTACCCAGTCACAGGCTCGATGTGAGCCTGCTAGGTGCTGCAGCTGTGCAAGGGGCAGCCCAGGGATGGGGCAGACCTACCTGGGAGGAGAGGCATCCTGGCTCGTTCCACACGCCCCTCAAGTCACACAAAAGGCCCCTTCCTGGTATAGGTGCTTGTGTCAATCATTAGCTAGAAATCTAGGGCTGGGTAAATATATTTTTTGGCTTTGACTGATGATGACAGACTTGGAGCATTACCTAATAAGGTGGGACCACTTGGTATCGTGGCGTGTTATATATTCCTGTTCCTACCTGCAGTCTTCCTCTCCCACACAGAGAGCTAGCAGGCTGCAGTGGAGTGGTACCTCTGTCTGCCATGAAGATATTGGGGGTTTTTGTGAAGGCGGCTCTTGCCCTTTGTTGCTGCTTAGGTGAGTATTTCCTGCGATATTGCAGATATCGATCTAGCTGCATCAGAGCTGAATTTTCATTCTGTAAAAGCATTTGGGGTTTGTAATGTGGAGGAGAGCCTTTGTTCCCTGAAGAAATATTCTTCCTGAGAGAGAGTAGCAGAAAGTTAGACTTCAAGAATGAGGTTTCAGCAAACTTCATACAGATGACTTTTCATCTTTGTGGTTTGTAGGAGCAAACTGCTGAAGGAGCAGTCCTAGTGCAGGACAGGAGCTTTCACTTGGGAGTACTGTGTATAAGGGTAAAGTAAAGCTGTAAATAATGGTATCACTATGCATGTAAACAATACAAATGCAAACTGTAACCTCTAGGCTAAGTTTGCTGTGCCCACTCCTGGTAACTGAGAAGGATGTGTGTGGAGATGGATAGTGCCAGTGGTCAAAGGTCATCATAAACACAAATGTCCAAACTTTTGAAAATCAATAAAAATCAATTAAAAGTCTCTTAGAAGTTAAAAATCCAAGAGTACCGAAGTGAAAATACCTGTATCTCTCCCCTGTAACATTTAGGGATGGATTAATATATGTGCTTTCCCCTGTTTTATCTCCCCTCGAAAGTGCAATGGAACTTTATTTGGTAACTCTTAATACATGCTGTGATTGTTTACTGGCATAATATAAAACTCTGTATTTTCCTAAACCAAACAAATTAGTCAAAACCAGTCACTGAATTTAACAGTTTCATTAAAAGATTTACATAAATCTTCTCTGCATATCAATAACTTGATTATTTGTCAAAATTTTTTCCCATTATTTTCTTTCAGAGATTGCCTTTGGAGTCGAGGTGAGCTACAGATTTATTTATTCTGTTCTATTCCAGGTTTCTGGCAAAATAGAAACAGTATGTAAATAACTGATGAGCAAGTGGACTAAACCTAATGAAAATTTGATTGTTCAAATAATAGTTGCCAGTTCATGATTGAATGCTATTGGCAATTTGATGAGAAAGATCCCCCCTGCCCCCCTTTTTTTCCCTGTATTTTCAGTTCATTAAATAAAATGAAGAAAGTGGGAAGTAATTATAAAATCCTATTATATTAACTCTTAGACATAATTTAATTACTCCAAGCCAAAGGCGGTAGGTTACCTCCTCATGAGGAATATTGCCTTAAGATGATATGCTTGAAAGCATCAAACACTCTGATTCTGATCATTTTTTCTATACAATGAGACCTGCAGAACTGTGTTGCTTGCATACGTTTCCTATACCTACATCATAGAGCGGGAAACAGCAGGGTCTGTGTGATGGATTTATCTGCAGGTTCTTCCCACACAGTTACAAGGCTCCTACAACTCACCAGGGAGTGCAGCAAGATTTGAAGCGATCAGAGTCTGAGCTGAGGGGCTCTGGCATACAGCTGGGCTCCCAATTACCACCTGTCTTCGTTAGGCACTGTCTCACCCACAGCAATCCTTCCTCTGTGCCTGGACCTGGCAGGAAAGCTTAATCAGAAACTTCTCTAGATTCACTCCTGACTGCCTGAGCACATTCAAAATAACATCTCTTTCTTACCCTGCGGCAGGAGCTGCAGGTGCTGTGGTGTGGGAAGCTGAGGGAGCCATCACTGGGGCTGATTCTGTGCTGCTTCCCCAGGTTGACTGCAGCCAATACCCTAATGGTGTTGGTGAGGATGGGACAGTCTGGGTAGCTTGCCCAAGGAACATGAAGCCAGTCTGTGGCACCGATGGTACCACGTACAGCAACGAGTGTGGGATCTGCTTCCACAACTAGTGAGTATTGCTGGAAACCTAGCAGAAGCCTCAGGGCAAGGGGCTCAAGTTAAGGGTGGCAGCTTCACGCCCCATAGATGGACTGGGCAGAGAGTGTGAGTTAGAAGCTGGGTGCTGTGACACTACCAGTCTCAAGGCGATACTCTGCAATCCCTGACACAGGTCTGCTTTCTTCTAGTAAACACAATGACAGAGTGGAGAAGGCGAATGATGGAGAATGTGACCCAAAATCTATTATGGTAAGATAAAGTCCATGTAAGTCTTCAGCTGGCTGTAAAGTCCATGCTCAAACATGACACAAGAGGAAAACAGAACATGCACAGCTAGTCTGTACAGCCCAAAGGGAACTGACATGTGATGATAACCAAAGCTGAGAGGGTTTTTTATGTGATATCTGGTACCATGTCTCTGTGCTTTTCTAATTCAGACTTCTAACATCTGTAATTGGGATTAAAAGAAAAATGTGTTGTTGGAAGGTTGGATCTCACCACCTGGATAGCTCCAGCAGTATCTTATGAAAGGCCTCAGAAACCCCAAATCACAGTCCTTGCTGTGCCTTTTTTCTTCATCAGGAGAGCATTCCTACAGAACTGTCTCTGGCTTTTGGTAGTGGAATTAGCTAGATGCTGGATTGGTTCCCAAAGGCTGAGGGAGAGTACGCAGACTTTGTGGGAGAGCTGTATCTTTGTATCAAAAACGTGGACTTATTTCTTCTCTATTCCTGCTATTTTTACAGATCGATTGCAGTAAGTACCGAAGCAGTGTAGTAGATGGTCAAGTGCTGGTAGCATGCCCAAGGATACTGAGACCAGTCTGTGGCTCAGATAGCCTCACTTACGACAACGAATGTGGGATCTGCGCCTATAATGCGTAAGTTTTGTGTGTAGAATGTCCTTCTGGATAACTAGTGATACCTAAGGCTCTCAGAAGCACTTCTGTAAAACAGTGGTCTGTCTTAAGGCAAGTGTCTCTGTAGGTTTCTTTGGAGCTGGCTGCTTGTAATTCTCCAGCCAGTCTGAGTTTTCTTCCACATTTTCTGTCTGTGCTCATGAGGGGAATCACAAAAGAAGCAGAGAACAACCAGCAGAGCCAGGAACAGATCAAAGTGTTACATGCAACACCTAATTACACCTAGCACTTGGTTACCGTGTGGTATGGAAGTACTCTGCATTAGCTGCTACCATCTGGACAGTGTATTCAGACAAGTCAAACAGTTGTAGTGTCCCACAAGACAAGTGGGACCTTCCTTTCTTGTTCCACTGCCTAGAGCATTATGGGGAAAGTTATTCTCAAGGCTTCCTAACCAAAGCATTCCTTTCTTTCAGAGAACATCAGACCAACCTTACGAAAATACATGATGGAGAATGCAAGCCTGAGATTGTAAGTGCAATAGAAGTCATCTCTTAGGGCTGTTAATAGAATCCTGATAACCCCACAGACTTCCCTAGGAAAAAAGAGGACCATAGGACAAGGCTTATGAGGGTCCCAATCCGTGCTTTGCTTTTCTGCACAGTGAGGGTGGATTTTGTATCCTCCCTATTCTAAAGAGAGGGTCACCCCATATATACCACCCCCAAAATGATGAGGGTGGAAGGAGATGGGTATGAAATGAGAAGCTGCAGTGCTGCAGAGCACACTTCTCTATGTACTAAACTGGCTTTTGTGCCCAATGGAAGGGGAGGCCCAAGATTTCACTTGCCAATATGCTGTGCAAGTTTTCAGTTTTCTCTCTGGAGATTACAAGAGTTGCAATGGGGAATCAGTACTCCCATGCTGTGTGCTTTCACAGACATAATGAGACTCACAAGAGCACTAAGCATACATATTTATAGAGTATAGTTTATTGTATATTCTTACAAGATCAACTGTCTGGTGCCTCAGGAAGAGAAGCTTCTATATCAGCACCAAAATTCTGGGATGTAGAAAGTCCATCCTCCAACTTATTTCAGATTTTTTCTCTATCCTTTTAAATCCTGTGCTTAACCACAGGGAATCCAAAGTAATAAGTAATTATAGAGCTAGAGAAGTGGGGAGAAAACCAACACAAACCAAAACAGTATTAGTCAGATTTCCAGCTGGTGAAAAACATTTCCCTCTAAATTCAAGACAGCTTTTTTTTTTTTTTTTAGTAAGAATGGGTCTGAAATTCTGTACATGTCTTTCTGCCTGAAGGATCCTTTCTCCAAGAGAGTCTTTCTTGGCTGCTAGAGAACTAGGATAATATTCAGAAAGCTCCTTTCTGATTGAAGATTTAGCTTCAGTATATCAGGTTTTGTCCTGTTGCAGAAACAATGGTAGCTGGGATACAGGATGAAAAGGTTAGCACCAACTTTTCTTGCATAGCAAGGGCTCCACCAGAGCCAATTCTCCTTATTTTGACAGATTGACTGCAGTAAGTACCCAACAGTAACCAATGAAGATGGCAGTGTATTAGTATCCTGTCCAAGGATCCTGACTCCAGTTTGTGGCACAGATGGCATTACATACGATAATGAATGTGGAATCTGTGCCCACAATGGGTAAGTGCAATATGCAAAGCACTCCTTCTAAGTAGCCAGCAATGCTTTGCAGTCCTGAGACCACTCTTCTGCATTTCTGCTTATCTCTATTTCTTCAGGTCTCTTAGAAACTCGATTGGTTTGGGATTTACCTTGAGTTTCCTTATGATACCTTCTTTGCTCTCATAAGGGGAAACTTTAGAGAGTCAGACAGCAGCTCCTTGGATTAGTCTTTGGGCTGGGCAGTGACTGAGTCAAGGAAGGAATAATTCAGAATATTGCTTTAAATTGCATGTTATGAGAGGATGTGATAAGCTTGTTAATGAGTAATGAAGTGATTCTGATGCACTCCTAAAGAGTTAGAAGCTGTGGTTTGCTTCATTTTGTTTGTGACTGAGAATAAAAGGTTAAGTATTTAGCTCGTCAACTTCATTGTTTCCCTCTTCCAGAGAACGCAGCGCCCATGTTAGCAAGAAGCATGATGGAAAATGCAGACAGGAGACTTCTGAGGTAAGTATTCAATATAAGGCATATTTTTCCTTTCGGGTCTATGAACTAGAAGGTTCCCTGAGGCTACATCTACTCTGAAAGTGAGCTGGCCCAAAAGCTGGCTTTCTCCCCATGTCTTACATTAAGTCTTGTCAACCCCTTGTGTTGAGGATGCCTACAAATCCCATTTGTCTAGGGGCAGGTGTCCTTTGGGCCCTCCTTGCCTGCATAGCCCTGGCACATGGGCTGCATGTGAGCTAGGCACAGAGTTTTCATTAGAAGTTCATACCTACAGCCTTAGGGGTGGGGATATATTCTGGTACATGGAGCACACATGAAGTTTTGGTCTAAGTATATCAGCCGAGAAGTCCCAGAGCTGGTGTGTAGAACATGCCAGCACATACACGTGGAAGTTGGTCTATTTGGGCTTAGATCTTCCTTTAAGAATGCTCTTTAAATGCATTGTCAGCAAAGTCCAAATTCCTTCACTATTTTGATGTTTCGTTTTTTTCTATAGTGCAGAATGAAAAGAATGTTTTTCTCTTTGCTTTTCTTGGCATATCTTGCATTTGTGATTGACTGAGATACCCACCCTAGTGATTTCACATCTCCCAAACTACACAGGGCTTTGAAGTTCCCTCTGTGCATGAAAGGATTCATGCAGAACTGACTCAGTCTGCTTTTGAGAGAACCGAGTGGTAGCACTAGTATTGTCTCAGCATCCCGGTATGAAAGACCTGGCAGGAGGTTATGTTGTGGTTTTTCTCAGAGAACAAAATCTTCCCTGGTTTGACACTCCTGCTTTTTGTAGATCAATTGCAGTCAGTACCCATCAAGAATGTTGAAGGGTGGTAAAGCCCGGATGCGCTGTCCAAGGATCCTGCTCCCAGTCTGTGGCACAGATGGATTCACTTATGACAATGAATGTGGCATCTGTGCCCACAACCTGTGAGTACTGTGCTCTATTTCGGAGTCAATAGCCATGATAAGTGCTCAGGTGGCTTTTCTTTTGATACCGACATAGCTATACGTGTTGTTCTGTTTCTTTTTCAACCTTCTGAAGACCGTGTCACCCTGATTTTGTTCCCTGATGCTGTTTGTGCTTCTTGGGGAAGCTGTGAGCTAGCCAAATCTCAATCTGGGCACACTATATGAGGGTTGTGGTTTTTGGGCAGAGGAAAGAGCGGATGGGGCTGCTGCACAGCACACAGTGAGGAGACCTGATAGGTCTGCTACCACTTAGGATTATGCTTGCTAATGAGTGGGAGAAGATGGTTCAATAGGCAATCAGATGCTTCCTTTGTCATATATATTGGCTATGAGTTTGGTTTGCTTTCTGGGGCACAAGGCTTAGCTGGTGAGCATGCTAACACCAACCTCTCCCTTTCAGAGAACATGGGACTAATGTTAAGAAAAGCCATGAGGGAAGGTGCACGGAGGAAAGCACTCCTGTAAGTGTAACTAGCTGTGAAATACACACCATCTCCCACTCCCTCTTCAGCCTCCAGAAAGACCCTTGGCTGGGCTCGGCGCACCCGCAGTGCTCCTGGATGCACGTAGCGGTGATGCACAGGGCTCATGATGGCGCTGCAGTTCTCCCTGACCACTCACAGTGGCTGCTGCCTGTGTGCTGTACATGAGGGCAAGAGAGAACGGGAACAGGCCACGACTTCAGAAACAAAATGTCCCAGTGCTGCAGATCCCTGAACAGAAATCATCAGAGGCAGCCCTTTCTAGCACAGTGGGAAAGGAAGACAGAAGGCTGTGTTAGATGTCAGTCTATTCATTTGGTGCTAGGATTCCCATTGCACTGGACAGGCAGGTTAAAATACTCTGCATGCCATGGTCAGCTAGGAAAAAAAATCTGCTCTCAGGTATGGATACAAAAATAGCTTTATTATCCTGCACAGTAACAATATGTGCTGATAATATCTCAACACACTTATTGTGCTTATGCAAAGCAGCTCTAAAGCACCAAAAATAATTTCATGCATCCTGAGGGACTGCAATATATTTTCTATACTAAAGACACACTGTTAAGATGCTGTCTTTAATTTGCTCCTGGACCACATGGGAAATATGGGTAATAAGAGACGCTGCACTGGGGAAACTAGACATAATGACAGTGAAGTGTCAGTGATGCTTAGCTAGTGTGGACTGACTTTCAATAAGTTTGTCTATTTATCTTCAGATATTTAAAGTGTTAGACTTTATATACTGTAAATTAAATATTTCACCAGGTGCTGGTGAAACAATTCTTGCTGCCGCTTTGGAATAGCTGAAATAAAATCTCAGATTTAGTTAACTGTGACTTAATGTCAAACATTTTAAATCAGATTCTTTGGGTTAAATGTTTTAAAACTTGCATGTGTACTACTGGAGGAAAATAATCTTTTTGGCCAGCTGTTCCTTTCCTCCCTCTGTTAGCAGACAATACCAAACCTAACTACAACTGCTTAATTCATTTATAATGGAAGACTAAACTTAAAACCACTCTGATTTTCTGGCAGAAGCCTTTAAAATCTGGATGATCAGAGCGCACAACTGCAGATGAGGAACTCTTCCATCTCCCAACATTGTTACTTTCTCTCCCCAGGTTGACTGCAGCACATACCTGAGCAATACTGAAAGCGGGGGAACCATTGCAGCCTGCCCCTACATCCTGCATGAGATCTGTGGGACAGACGGTGTCACCTACAGCAATGACTGTTTGCTCTGCGCCCATAACATGTAAGCCCTGGAGGTCACCCCTGAGAGCTCAATAGAGTGACTTGTTGAGCATTTTTAACTCTGCTTTCTTTTCCAGTGAATTTTCAGCCAGTGTTGCGAAGAAGCATGATGGAAGGTGCTTAGAAGTTCCCCAAGTAAGTAAAATGTAAAGAAAACCAAGAATAACAGAATGGTTTGGGCTGTAAGGGACCTTAAAGATCATCCAATTCCAACCCCCTGCCACGGACAGGGACACCTTCCACTAGAGCAGGTTGCTCCAAGCCTCTGTGTCCAACCTGGCCTTGAATACTGCCAGAGATGGGGCAGCCAACGCTTCTCTGGGCACCCTGTGCCAGCGCCTCAGCACCCTCACAGGGAAAAAATTTCTTCCTAATATCTAACATAAATCTTTCCTCTTTCAGTTTAAAGCCATTCCCCTTGTCCTGTCACTACATACCCTTGTCAAAAGTCCCTCTCCCATATTTCTTGAGGCCCCTTTTGGGCACTTAGATACCCTATGTACCCCTTTAGACACTTCAGGTGTAGCCCTTCAGGTACTAAGAGCTTGAGTGGATGCTGATTGCATAACTTCAATAAATGCTGGCTGGTTTTGGTGGTGTAGCCTCCACTCGGTGTCACAGCTTGTGCTGTCCTTTCTTCTGCGGGTAAGTGTCACTCTCCCAGCAGTAGGAACATTGTGTACTTCCTGCACGCAGTCAGGAAGAGAAAGAGGAGAGGACAGGTGAGGAATGAGTTATGAGACAGGTAGCATAAACGATTTAAGGCTTTACAAGAAGAAATCCTTTTCCCACAGCAGTCTATCATAGCTGCCACTGGAACTTAGCAGTCTATTTTGGCAATACTGGAGGGGGATGCAGAGGACCCAGGGTATCCGGTGCCTTCTGGAAGCTTGCATTTTACAAAGGGATGTTCTGCAAAGATTAGCAAATTGCTTGTGTTTTGAATGCTGATACCTAATGTGCCAGGGCATTCAAATCTCTTTCTATTTTTTTTATTGTAAATGCGATGTAATCTTATGTATACCAACAGTGAATCTTGTAAAAATACCAGATTAACTATATTTGGCCAGCTCTAAACTATTTACACTCTCTGGGGAATAGAAAAACAAAGCCATCTCATTAGCATGTGTTTGAAAGAGTCGACACCCTGAGTCAGATATTTCATTTCTATACAAACAAACTATGAAATGTCATTCCTTTGTTTCCTGAGTATGCTCTGTGCTCAGACCGGGAGAGATACATAAATGGGGGAGGAAGAGCTCACACTGGAGAAACTGGGAGTGCTAAACACGAGGCCAGTTCTTCAACTGGTGTAAATCATCTTCAACTGCTGCCAGTCTTGCTGGCAGATTTCAACACTTGGAGCCATTCTGTTGCAACAAAAGGCCTGTCAGCACATCTCCCCTCCATTCTTGTGGGCCATGAAAAACACCTTGGTCACAGTTGGCCCTCTTGCAGGATGTACATAAATCATGCCATTTTGATTTGCAGATTATTCTTGAGCTGCATTTTGCAATATCCTATTATGTATGTTCTGCCAAGTATAGAGACATCAAAATAAAAACATAGGTGAATGTCTATCTTCAAGCCTTGATTCAGCATAAGACTATGAAAGGAAATTGCTAGTTTTCCATAAAGAATGAGTTAATATATAACCATAATTTGTCCTATGGCAGACCCTAAAGGGCAGAGACATAAGCATCAGGGGTTGCACAGAGCCTGTGTTTTTGTTCCCCAGCTCGACTGCAGCCAGTACCGAACTTCCACACTGGATGATGGCAGACAGCTGATGGCCTGCACCATGATCTACAGTCCTGTCTGTGGCACTGATGGTGTCACTTACGCCAGCGAGTGTGCACTGTGTGCCAACAACCTGTAAGTAGTCATCCTTCTTGCTGGGGAATTCCCAGTGGCGGTGGTTGGACCTCTGAAGGTCAAGTGATGTGCAAGGGCTCCCCCTGAAGCCCTGTGCTGGACTGACCTGCCTGTCTGCCCCCATTTTCCAGCTTCCCCTATTTGGTGTTTGACATGAGTGTTCAATCCCAGAGCCCCACAAAGGGGGATGCATCAGCTGGGAAGAATGTTATTCCAAAAGACACATGCTGGTCCATAAGGGCATGTTCTTGTTGGTTCTGTGCAGGCAATGAAAATCTCCTGTGTGCACTGTCTATGAGTGAGGTTTGGTTTTGCACTGTGGTTGTAATGGGGAAGGTTGTGGCTAACAATGATTTCTCCTTCCTCCAGGGAGCGTCAGACCAGTGTTGGCAAAAGAAAGAACGGGCGCTGTGAAGAGGATATTACAAGAGTGAGTGGGAAAGGATGTGAACTAAGAGTGAAGTCCAGTGCCTGCTACACTCATGGGGGACTGTCCTCTGCTCTAGGTTACAAACCGGGGTAGTGGTGGTGTTCATATTGGTCATAACACAGCCAATATCCACCTCATTGCTCTGTAACAGTGCAGGAAAAGATCACATCTGCCACCAGGAGGAAAATGAGTTTGCTGTTATGATCTTACAGTTTCATTTCTCAGTGGGGTGTCATTCCTTAAGCTGGGGAGACGGACGGATGGACGTGGTTTGCTCTTAGGTAGAGATACTTATGTTTATTTTCTGTGTGCAGGAGCATTGCAAGGACATCCAACAAGCCTCTCCTGTTTGCACCATGGAATATATGGCCCACTGCGGCTCTGATGGCAAAACATATGGCAACAGATGTTTATTCTGCAATGCCTACCTGTACGTACAAAAGTAAAACTCTTCCTTTCATGATCAATTCCTATACCTGCTATGAATGCAGGGCTGTTTACATAATGTTTCTTTGACTAACTGCTTATGAACATATATGGGATATTTCTGGTGCACCATGACTTGTGCAAGGACATGGGTGTGTTTGCATTTTAAGGGAAAATACAAAGGGTCCATTTCTGTGATCCGTACATGGCCTCCTGTTTGTTAACTTTGAAGATATTTTACTCATTTTCATCAGCATATAATCTCCCCCACAAGCTCTTCAGGGCATGTGGAAAGTACTTCACCAAACCAAGTGGATTGTATCAAATGTGTGAAACCATTCGTCTTTCCTTTAATGATAATAATGAAAAGACTTTTGAGACTGTTCTTTATCTACAGTCAATACTAAGCTAACACTTGGGCCAGTGAGTGAGGAACAGGGTTTCATCACTGAATATGCTATGTGTCTAATCCTTCTCTTTCCTTTTCTCACCAGGGAAAGCAATAGGACTCTGACCCTCATGAGTATGACTGAATGCTAAGTCTGTGCAGAAGTCCAGCCCAGGAAGACAAGCTCCCTTTGCATGTGACTTCCTATGGGCTGATCTTCCCCAACAACTTTCCTTCAGTTTGTCTCGTTTCCTTAGCTCCTGAAACACTTCTTCAATAAACTCATTTTGCAACATGTCTCTGTGTTAATTCCATGTCTCATTCCTTTTGGCTCTTCCCATCCCTGACATGGTACTTCTAGTGATGCATATGTATTTTTCTACTGATATCCTGCTCTATCAAATATTGTGGGTAAATATTTTCCTGGTTCCAGGCACTTTTTTACTGCTCAGAACCTCCTTGTCAGTATTAGTTTCATCCAACTCTTAATATCTCTGTATGACCTGATCATGGACTTCATAGTCAGTGCAAAGAGGCATTCACCTCAAGGGCATGGTCCACCTTCTCCATAGGGCAATGTCTAGCATATGGGTGGTCGTTTGCTCTCAAGAAGAGCCCTTTCTTGCTGTAGGCTAGAAAGGGAACCTGATGGTCCTGGCTTCCAGTGCCTGTGCAGCCTTTCTCATGGAAGAGACAGCAGCTGCTGTCAGGAAAGGTGATCCCAGCCTGTCTCCACTGAATGTGTCCCCAGTGTCAAGTGCTGCTATAGGATATAATCTACAGGAGGGGAATGTCAAGATCCCTCCAAGGTCACAGACAACAGAAGTGCCCCCTCACAAAATATCTTGATTTATTAATGCAACAGAATAGCTCCAGGACTGGTGGGCAGAAATCATCCCTCGGGTGGGGGACAGCCCTGGTACATCACTGCAGCTGCCTGACTTCCTAAGCCATTTGGGAAGGAAAAGGGTGTACAGGTTCACTCATGACCAGTTGTAACAGGATATATAACAAGTCATAGGAAAGTGATTCTGCCTGATAGTCATGTTTTGTCTACTTTTTTAAGGCCAAGGAGCTCAGGACCTGGTGATACAATCGCTGTCATTTTGGTGTCTGTGTTGACAGCAGGGAGTTAGGGGGACCTAGGGGTTGCCATTCATCTGTTGGCCACATAGGTACAGCCACTACCAGTAGCTTTACACCAGGTCACCAAAGCTATTGCAAATCCAGTATTTCAGATTAGAGGATTTCTTCTGGACTACAGCTAACAACTCCACGATTCAATGTCCCATTGTAGTTTACCAGAGAATAACACAATTATTTGGATTGGTTTGGAAAGTCACTATTTGAATTGTCAGGCTAGAAGAATAGGCTGAAGGCAAGTGTTCCTGACTTGGAGACACTGTGGGTATTGTACCAGGGAATGAGGCCATAGTACCTCCGTGCTATTAATGTCTGTGGCTGGCATGTACTTTTCAAGATGATTTGTGGCTAACAATAGCTTATTGTGCTTCTCTTGGGTTTGTGTCCTAATGCAAACACTCCTTTAGTTTATATAACCTTTTTGCCATTTTCTGTTAAGTCGTTTTTGCAGAACATGCTGGTTTAGTCTTGTTTAAGTGTTACTTAGTTACCCTCAGGGATAAGACCTGAGTAATTTTTTTCTTGTGGACTTTGGCAGACTTTCATTTGGACTTAGCACTGACCGCTGGTTTTTGCAAGCCCTTGCAGTAAAGATGTCAAGATCCAACCGAATGGCATTAACTGGGCACAGCTGTGCCAAAGCCTCCTCCGCGGAGCTCATTGTCTGATGACACGAAAGGCAAACAGAAACTCAAGGAGGCATAATGTTGAGACTAAGTCAGAGCAACCCAAAGAAGAAGCCAAAGTGGTCATTAGACAGAGGTTTCTATGCAGTATTTGCCAGTACATTTCGTGTAAAAGTACAGAATGGAATAAATCACTAAAACTGGGCCAGAATATGGGAAAATCCTGACATTGGAGTTTAAATATCCCCCAGGCTCAGGGGGTGTTTTATGAAGCAATATAACTCTATAAAAGTAGGGCAGGCTTCTTCTCAGGGACGGAGCTGTTTTCTATGCCTTGGAGTTATTTTTCAGCTGTTGCAGGGTTACTTACTGAGTGTGTGCTAATTAGATGATTTCTTTCTGTTTTGTGTTGGAAATGGCCTCAAGTTGCATCAGGGGAGGTTTAGATTGTATATTAGGAAAAACTTCTTCACTGAAAGGGGTGTCAACCATTGGAACAGGCTGCCCAGGGAAGTGGTTGAGTCCCCACCCCTGCAGGTGTTTAAAAGACACGTAGATGTGGCACTCAGGAGCACGGTTTAGTGCTGGACTTGGCAGTGCTGGGTTAACAGTTGAACTCAATGATCTTAAAGGTCTTTTCCAATGTATATGGATTCTGTGACAAGGAAGCAACAGTCAGGCAAAGACAAGCACATTCAAGAGGAAGTGTTGAATTTTTGTGGTTTAGGAGAGAGGTAGAAGAATGTCAGGTTCAAAGTGCCACAAAGAGACTTGAGAAGAGCTTTTGAGGTATGATTGAGTGAGCTGTGGGTGCTTTTTTTGTTCATAGATAGAGGAATGGCTGATAGACGGACAAATAGAGTTTACTGTGCTGGGGAGCACCAAAAGATCATCTCATGAGTTCGGTGCTTGCCAGACTGCAAATATATTCAGTAACTGTCTCCACTATAAGGGCGACAGATACTTCGGTGCTGCTCAGCCCACTGCTCCATTGCTTCAGAAAAGCTTCTTCATTGCTTCCACTGTTCTAATGCATAATGCTGCAAAGCCCCAAGGCTGACTTTCTTAGTCACCTCAGGCAAAAGCCTGAGCAGCTTCAAAATGGTCAGGTTACTCTCAAAACCCATTCACCTCTCATGATAGTAAAGCCTATACTGTAACTTGGAAAGAGGCACTAAAGGATCAGGCAGAAGCATGGATTTAGTCCTGCTTCAGTGGACTCTTACTTTTGCGCTTCTGCCATGAACAGAATTAGCTGTAGGTGCAGTTTTATGCCCTCAATCAAGGCTGCAGGGAAGGATCCAGCTCCACATAGTGCCTTGCAATCATTACTGCTGCTGTGGATAGCAGGGACCAAGTTCCTGAGCCATGTGAAGGGCTGATGAACTTTGATGTATTTTACACTGATGACGGTCCAGCCTCAGGATTCATGACCTGTGAATGCACTAGTACATGTCACAAAGGCAATATTTTAAAAATATAAATGCTCTTTCTCCTTCCTTGTTTGTCTTAGTTACCTTTATAGCCTTATCAATGTCTTTTTGAATCTACAGTCATTTTTCTTACCACACAAAGAGGAGGAAGAATGAGGTGAATCATTTAAATCTTGATTGATATGTCTGATTTAGAAAAAAATATTTAGTCTTTTCATACTGAGCCAAAAGATTTTTTTCCATCATTTATCAGCATTCACCACCTATCTGTGACTTGAAAAAAACCCAACAAACAACTTTTCCTTGATAGTGTCTGTACTTAAACTTCAGTCAAACACTTTAGCAAAAATTCTATGCCTTTCAAAACTATGTCTGCTGATTTGCCTTGGTTTAGTTTTTTTTCATATGCTGCTTTTTCTAGAGAGGCAAGTGGATGGGCTTAGGTACTCTGTCAATCTCTTAAGTAGTGCTTGAGAGTGACAAGGCTCATCCCACTGACTTTTTTATGTTCTTTTTTTTCAGAAGAAGATCTAGATGGGGTGGCTTTTACCACTTTTATGACTCCACGTTCCTCAAAAAAAAGAAATCCAGAAATAATTATAAAAACTCATTGTATCAGTTGCACAGGTCTAGTTAACTGTCTGATAGCAAAGAAAACACTCTGGGAACTGAAAAGATTTCCTCAGACCTCTATATTTAAAGGAGTATAATCCTGGTATCCACTTGTTTCATCCATCCATACATTCACACTCAGAAATGTTCATTCTCTTGTTGTAATTTAATGCTGGATACAATTTTATTTGATTCTTTGCCATGCCCTGGTTTCCGGTTGTGTGCTCTCTGCTGATCAACGAATAGATATGAGAAAAGCAGACAGCAGCAGTGGAAGGGAGCCTGCCTCCAGCTGGCAGACATCCACTCTGCTTGGGAGGGTTTTCCAGATTCTCACCAGCTGAGGTGCAGCCCCGTAAGTTTAAACATACTGTGAATTTGCAAACAAAGAGCATTCGCATAGTGTGTTTCTTCCTGTCTATTTTTCTTTCATAGAAATAAAACCTTAATTGCATTCAAGCCCCCTGAATAATGAGAAATGTTTGGAAACGTATTGCTTTAAGCTCTTCTACTCTGCTCCCTTCAAAGCATAGACACAGGGATACCACTGAGGATGGCCGGTCTGGGCCTCCTGGGCAGGTGCTGAAGCAGATCTGTGGCACAGATGGTTTCACTTACACCACTGAATGTGGGATCTGTGCCTATAACGTATCAGTCTGATGGAAAGGGCGTGCTTTCTGACTGACAGTCCCCTAGCCTCTCCCTGTCCTTTTCCAATTCATCCTCTTTTTCTCCCTCTTCACTTGCTGTTTGTGCTTGGTGGGAAATCATGAAGATTTAGTAGAGAAAAGAAAACAACCAAAGAAAATAGCCAGAGTGGAAGTCCAAATGATGCAGTATATTCAGATGGCACAGGTTTGTTGACTGATAGGATTATAATAGCCAGAGACAGTATAACCACTTAATTGGTGGTGGTTAACTCAGATGAACTTCCTTCACTTGCATTATTTGGGAATTTTATTTAAATTCCCAGCACCCATCCGCCTTTGGGAAAATGGTCTTACTGAGTCTCTAATGTCAGACTTTTCCTTCTTCAGGGGATGTGGCACACCCAGGGTCTCAGGAACAGCAGTCATCCCGGTGACTAAGAAGGAAGGCAAACCAAGAAGCAGTCTGATCTCCCATTGCTCTCTGTGGCATTATCCCAAATAATGTCAGCCGGATGCTGAGCAGGCAGCATATGATTTGACGTAAGTGATGCATATACCTTCTGTTGACATTTTCTTTGGCAGGGATTTAACGCTAGCTTTCTAATAATGCTATTCTCCACAGGCAGCATTCAAATATACAAAGAGAAGGATGGCAAAAAGATGCAAAATATGAGACAAGTAGGAGAAA